TTTGAAGGCCCTGTTTTCCCTTAAAACAGTCCTGTGGATTTTATAATGTATTTATAATATTAAGTACTTTTATAATGTACTTTAGACATAAATATAGTAAGTCCAGACTTACAAATAAGTTCTGTTCTGGGAGAATGTTCATAAGTTGGGTTTGTCTGTGAGCCCTACAAAGTGATTCTTATACACCTTTGACACAAATATGCAATATAAAGAATAAAAAAGACCCCGCCACATCAGCACTGCTTTTCCTCTTGCTTCGGGACATGCTGGGCTCTGTTTGAGCGTGCACTCCATACACTACCGCACTGGACGGTAAGCACACAGCAGCATACCTGTGAGAAGGTCCAGCGTTCACGTGAGCTGCTTTTATGATTTGTTCACATCTCTGTAATACGAAGTCCATTCCTGTCTGTGGAAGTTTGCGACTCGAACGCTCATAAGTTGGGGACTTTATGTAAGTGGTTTTTTTTCTACATATCTCAATAAAACTGATACTTCAGCATACTTGGCATTGTTAGTCGTGGTGCTCTGAGGGATTCCAGTCCAGTGTAGACCATGAATTCTCTTTATCAATTGGTTTCCTCTTCACAATGGGTAAAGCATCTCTCTCACAGACTGACATGTATTGATTTCCTCTTTTTATTTTTTAAGTGATACATAAAAATTGTACATATGGACAGTGTCATGTAATGTTTTGATATACGTACACATTGTGTAATGCTCCAATCTGGGTAAACATATACGCTTCTTTAAACATTTATCATTTCTTTATGCTGAAAATTTTCAAAATCCTTTTTTCTACCTTTCTGAAATGTACGGCACAGTATTGTTATTCTATCTCTCCACTGTGCCACGGCACACAGGAACTTGTTCCTCCTATCTAACTATAACTTAATACCTTTGATCAATCTTTTTCCATCCCTCCTCTCACTGTCCCTGGCTTTCAGTAACCACCCGTCTACTCTCAACTTGCAGAGGATGTATTGATTTCTTAATGTCTGTCTTAAGATACTGTGCTCTGAGTTCACTTCAGCTGCCCAGGTGTACTGTGGGAAGTGCAGTGAACAGTGGACTACACTCCTTGTTATTCTTTTTCTTATTAGTGTGTATTGGCAACACTAACAGTTAGTTCTGTTTGGGAGGATTTGTACATGCCTGTGATATAACTTTTTCGTCCATTTACCTCTTCATTCCTTACCTCCTCCCTCCCCTGATCTCCTTTTCCATTTCCAAAAATTCTACTTTCTTGTTTCCTACCATCTCTCATTTATTTATTTACTTATATTTTAGGTTTCTCATATAAGAGAATACCATGCAGTATTTAACTTGGTCCTCTTGAAAATCAACTAATTTTTAAAAATTCATTAGTGGTTGTTTCCGGGGAGGAGAAAGAGAGAGCCAAGGAGAGAGCAGAAAGGCTTTAGAAATACTCACTTTATTTTTAAGCTGAATAAAAGGCAAATGAGTATTATTTCATTATTTATTTTTACACCATATATGTTGTATACTGTTTTCTATGTATGAAATGTCTTTCTAGTGCAAAGGTGAAAAAAATTTAAAATAACTCAAAATTTTGTCTTTCCTTGCCAGCCTACATTTCTCTTCTACTTCATAATGAACTCTGGTCAACTCTCCCTACAGGGAACATAAACTGTTCTTACAGGGAAGCTCCACATCTTATTCCTGTCTAGGGGAATTTTTGGACTAAGGACAAGCCTTTCTGTTTAATCCTCCTCCGTGTCCTAGCCTTACTTTAAATGTCCCAGCTCAGAAATCACACCTGTCAGGGCTGGATATTTAGCTCAGTGACACCACATCTGCCTCACAAGCACAAGGTCCTGAGTTCAATCCCCGGGACTGCAAAAAAAAAAAAAAAAAAAAA